CAGATCCAAGAAAAGGTAGACTCACACTGAGAAACGCATACAAAAACGACATCAATGCAAGTAGAAATCAAATCCTGCAGAAATGGTTTGTGGTACGAAAGAAGGATTTTAGTAAAGCAGCTTCTGTAGAGTATAATAAATCTTTTGCCATATCTTTTTTATATTATATTACAGATCAAATGGAAAGTTATTCATTCTTTGTGTCAACCAACATTGCATCTGAAGTCAAACAGATCTTATAGAAGACCTGTACAGAAGAAAAGGACATTTTATTATCTGGCTTTAGTTATGTGGATCTTTATTCATGTTGACAGGAAATTAGAGAAAGGCTCAATGTGACAAGTCATTGCATTATTGACAAAACAAATGTATCATAATTAATTGAATGCGCTTTTGTTGATCTGTCGCATTGACTTTGATCCTACAACATTTTAAATATTTATTATTATTTTAATATTATTATTAATTATTATTAAATATGTTAGAGTAGTAAGGAATCATTTATATATTGAAATGCATTATCTAGTATTAATGAGGGAGTAACCTATGCATTGATTGCTTATTTTTTAGTAAATAAGAAAAATTAAACAATTTTAGTACATAACTTTTAAATGGTATAAATACCGGAACATTTCACCAATGAAGAAGACTTTCAACTTTGGAATTAAAGTATACACTTGTTTATCTTTTAGTGTCACGTTCTGTACGGCATATTTGCTGATGAGAACAATATCCTATACGGCACATTTGCTAAAAGGATATCAGAAGCGACTGGAGAGCTAAGACAATACTCAACCTTCTGATTTAAATAACATTATCTTCATAATCGCTAAATGCTTAATATTTAAACATCACTATTATGGCAATCCTGCCATAATATACCAAAGCGATATAGGAAGAGGGATAAACAGCGTACCAGCTCTAGTGGAACAGAGCACTGCGACCATGTTTGATCTTTTGTGCTGCAACAGACCCTAACTGAACAGAAGACATTTCGCCTTCTCAATAAAAACCAGAATGTCAGCCGTTGAGGGCCTCCTAATGTCAGATCGTTTAATTTATTTTTTATTCTCGCATTAGAAGTCTAATCTTTTTTCAGATATCATAAAATCGGATTAA